AATAAAGTTAAATAAAATAAATCTTTTTTAAAAAGTGATTTTAAAAGAAAATATCATGTTCATGAAGGAGTGCCCAAGTAGTGTTCCCCAGCAGGTTCCTCACTGCATTACTTAAAAAGAAATTGAGAGAGGCCAACAGGTAGTATAATGGTTAAGGTGCTGAACTCCCACATGACTGACTGTGGTTCAAGTCCTGCATCTGACAGCTTGAAAATCACCCTGGGCATATGTGCATGCATGCCCCAAATCCCAGGAAAATGGAGGAGAAGGGATTGCAGTGTGACCATCACCCCAAAGAGGTGATTTCTCACTTTCTCTCTCACTGTCTGTCTCTCTCTGACAAGCACACATGTGCCCTATGGCAAAAAACTAGAAAACAAACGAATAAATAAGAGATTGAGAGATATTTTTGACATATTTACCATATTTGATATTTTATATCTTCCCTAATACTTTGTTTTTATCATAATTACATAATGTATTGGGAACCAGCAGTTGGCATAATGGCTATGTCACTGGACTCCCATGTAGCTGACCACAGTTCGAGTCCCGGACCTGGGGGCTTAAACTCATGCTGGGTGCGTGTGCATGTGTGCCCAAGATCCCGAGAAGAGAATGGAGGAGAAGGGATTGCAGTGTGACCATCACCCCAAAGAGGCGATTTCTCACTTTCTCTCTCACTGTCTGTCTCTCTCTCTGTCTTGCTGGTGAGCGCACGTGCCCTATAGCAAAACCCTCTCCAAAAAAAAAAAAATTACATAACACATAAAGAAAATATATTAACAGCAAAAACTTTTACTAGGCATCAAACATGTACAAATCTCCTCTAGCTTATATAGCTGTATTTCAAAAATGTTATTTTTTACCTGTTATGACATGAAAAAGCTCTGTCTCCTACGTCTCATGGTCCATAGCAGCACTATCCAAATGACTGAGCTAAACACCCAGGCGGCCTCCTGATTCCTCTCTGCTATGTGCTCTCGCATGCGCTTTCAGCAGCCTCCCTGGGCTGCTTTCATACTTATACCCTCTCTGCCTTCTCCTTTCCTCTCCAACGCTTCCACCTGGACAATGCCACTGTGCTCTCCTGCCAGGACTACCAAATTAGACTCCTAAATTGGTCTTCCATCTTCTGCATCTCACACCCTTCCCTGATTTAGTCTCCATATAGCAAACTCATTAGACCACGTAATGCCCCTTCCCTACTCCCTACACCTTTTAAAACCTTTCAAAGATCTTTTGAATCAAATCTAGGCTCTTTTCTATAGCCTAAGAGCCCAGCGTGGTCTAGCCTCTGCCTTCTCCAGTCTCATCTCCTACCACTGTCCCATAGCATGTGCTGGTCCATGCACCTTGCCTTCTCTCTAACACTTGGAGAGAGAACATTCTAGAACAAAGGTCAAGGTCAAGTGGAGATACCAAGCAAGCAAGGGGCAATAGGGAAATCTAGAGTTCACCAGCACATCTGAGCTGGAGATGTAACGTTTGGAGTCTGGTAGAACCCCAGGAGGCTAGAGATCACCAAAGAAGTGAGCTTAAACAGAGAACGGGACTAAAGACGAGCAGAGGTGCCCTCCCAGCCTTCAGGGGTCAAGGGGATGAAAAGAAACCTGTTCATTGGCTTCATGGAATCTTTCTACGGAATCTACAAAGATCAAACATCACACTGTGCTCCACAAACACACACAATTATTTGTCCATAAAAAAATAAAATAAAATAAATTTGTTTAGATTTATTTATTTATTTATTTATTTTTGGAGAGGTTTTTGCTGTAGGGCATGTGAGCTTGCCAGAAAGACAGAGAGAAACAGAGAGATAGAAAGCGGGAAACCACCCCCCAGGGGGGATGGCCATGCCACAATCCCTTTTCCTTCATTCTCCTCTCAAGATCTTGGGCACGTGCCCGGCATGAGTTTAAACCACTGGGTCCAGGACTCAAACCACAGTTGACTACATGACAACATAGCCATTACACCAACTGCTGGTCCCAAAAGTAAAATTTTAAATTAGAAAAGAATCTGGGGGCCAACAGGTGGTGCAGTAGTTAAAGCAACTGGATTCCCACATGGCTGACCATGGTTAAAGTCCCTGACATGGTGGCTTGAAAATCATGCCAAGCCCGTGTGTGTGTGTACTCAAAATCTCAAGAGAAGAATGGAGGAGAAGGGAATGTGGCACAGCCATTCTCCCTGGCAGGTGATTTCTCACTTTCTCTTTCTCTGGCTCTCTCCTTTCTGGTGAGCACATGTGCCCTATGGCAAAAACATAAAGAAATAAATCTGTTGGACTGAAAAGAGTCAGCCAGTGACAGAGGAGAAAAACCAGGAGGTTTGGGGGCCTTAGAAGCCCTCTACAAAGCTTATGGATATATATTTTCAGAACTTATCAACTGGAGTTTTGATTCAATATGAAGATGGACACCCAAAGATGTTTTGTTTATTTATGAAAACAAGTATTTTCGTTTTGTCATCAAAACAGAGAAACCTGGGAAATACTGCCCCAGAGCTTGGCCCAATCAGAAGAATCACATACCTGGGGCCCTATTAGAACACAGACATTCCAGGGACCTCACCCCGCAAAGGCACACTGACTCCAAATCCCCCAGGGACTTCGAACTCAGCAGCACATCCGCCAAACACGTCATTTCTTCTTGAGATTTGTTCCAAAACAGCCCACGAGGTTTTGCATTTGAGTCAATGAATCAGTAGTTCTTTCTCCCTTTATAAAGACTCATGGGCACCATCCACCATCTCTCAAATGGGGGGTGCTTTCACTAAAACTCTCAGAAATGTATTCCAGCACATGTGTGGTCTGTTAGGGTCTTCCCTGAGAGTATTCGGTGTGCACTAGGATTACAACCAGCAAACAAATGAGCATCTCCAGTTTAGACCTAAGAGTGAAACGAAGCTTCGAGCTCACCACCCAAGTTTCTTTTCTTTTCTTTTCTTTTTTTTGGGAGAGATTTTTGCTATAGGGCGCGTGCGCTCGCCAGACAGAGAGACATAGAAACAGAAAGCGAGAAATCACCCCCCAGGGGGGATGGTCACGCCGCAATCCCTTCTCCTCCATTCTCCTC